GTGATGCAAATGTTCTAAAACTGGGTTATGGTGATCGGCTTACTAAAACTCATTGAATGTACACTTCAAATGGGTGGATTTTATGGTATGTAAATTATACCTCAATAAAGTTGTTTTTAAAATACTCAACGGTAAGAAAACTAACAACCCAATTTTTAAAATGAGCAAAGGAGTTAGACACTTCATCAAAGAGTATATACAGAAGGCAAAAAAGCACATAAAAAGATGTTCAACATCTCTAGCCTTAGGGAAATACAAATTAAAACCAGGATTTGTATTTCCTTAGGGAAATACAAATTAAAACCACTTCACATCCACTAAGACGGCTAAAATAAAAAATGCTGTCAACTGGACCTCTCATGCTTTGTTAGCAGGACTGCAAAATGGCACAGCCACTCCAGCAAACACTTTGACAGTTTCTTGTAAAGTTAAACACACACTTACCATATAACCCAGCAATCACACTCCTTAGTATTTATCTAGAGAAATGAAAACTTTTGTTTACACACGATCCTATACATGAATGTTTATAGCAGCACTCTTCATAATTGCTGCAAACTAGAAACAGCCTAGACGTGCTTCAACATACATACAATAGAACACAAGAGGACAAAAAGATTGTGGAAAAGTAAAATTAAAAGATAAAAATAAAAATGGGCCGGCCCGGTGGCGCACTGCTGCAGTGCGCCGCTTGGGAGCGCAGCGGCACTCCCGCCGAGGGTTTGGATCCCACATACAGACNGGGCGAGCGCGGGCGCGGCGCCTAGGGGGAGGGGCTCCGGAGTCCCTCGTGCCCGCTGCGCCGTGTGTAGCCGCACGGACGGCTCGGCGCCCGGCCAGACCGGAGCAGGTCCTGGCACAGCCGCCAGGAAGAGGGGACGAATCTCTGTCCCTGGCTTCCGGGGCGTGCGCAGCTCCCGCAGCGGGTTGGGGGCCATCAGGCTACATAGTCGCTGTAGAAGACGCTCCAACGCACCGTCAAACGAGACCTCTAATATTTGACGTTGTTAAGTACTTATTTGTTGGATATTTTAGGTATGATACTGGCATTTTAAAAAATCCTTATGGTTGGGGGGGTGGAGTCCCTAGAAACAGTGGTGGCCATGGATTGATAATTGTCGAGGCTTGGTAGCTGGAGGTTTGTTATACTAGTCTGTCTACTTTAGAGTATGTTTGAAATGCTGCTTAATAAAAAGTAAAACAAAAGAAAAATAAAACAATTTAAAATGAGGCTTCGAAATGGCCCCCTACGGAACCCCTCTGCCCCCCTCCATCGGCAACCCTAGATGCCCCAGGAAAGTGCAGTGACCAGGCGGGAAACCCTAGGGCTCCTTGGCCTCTCTGACCACCCAATAGGGATGAGGGAGCATCTGGAGGCTTCCTCGATGTCCCTTTATCACAGGAGGAAGGAGTTTTGTGGTAAACTCTCCTCTGGACATTCAGTAAGTGGCGAGTCGCCTTTACCCATATTAAAACCAAACTAAAGGAGACATTTTGCAGGACCCAGAAAATGTAAGAATTGGGACCCACCTCTCAGGCCCCCAATTAAAATATTCTCACTCATCTGGCAAAAAGCCATTCATTGGGAATATATTGCCAGTCACATATTCAACAAAGGACTTGTATCCACAGCACATAAAGAACGCTCAAAGCTCCATAGTAAGTATAGATGGATATAAAGAATCTTACTGGGGTGATGCAAATGTTCTAAAACTGGGTTATGGTGATCGGCTTACTAAAACTCATTGAATGTA